ACCATATCTTCACATTACTAGAGCATATGTCCTTTTTTACCACTATCCAAAGTTAAGCCCCACAAGCTTTCTCACTTTTCTATATCTTGGACCTCAAGATTTACTGTCATTGTATTAAAACTCTTTACTAAAATTAGCCGTGATAACTAAACATACTTTTTAATATAACCAATATAACCAACTCATGGTAATCTTAATGATTGAAGAGTTTACAAATAAAGCTATACATGGGATCAAAATCCTAGTTCTTCCACTTTTCTCAATACGGTTGGCCACTGTAAAAGTATAAATCTATCTTGTTTTCTACAAGTTTCGGGAGTTAATATGAGTTTCAACTCAAGATCTCTAGCTATACAGAAAAAAGCAAAAAAAATAAATATACTTGCGTCTTGAAAATAAATGCGTTTGAATATGATTTTCTTGTTTTTACTAACTTGACAATATATCTTTATAGATCTAGTTTGATCTTTATCAATTTGTTCGAAGTCATTGTTATTAAGTACTATAATGATTATAGAAATACTATATATAATTTAGTTTTCTAGTTTTGACTAACATGACAATATATCATTAGACTATCATTAGACTAGCTTATACATTTTAGTTGAATCTTTATCAATTTTGTTTGAATTCTTTCTTTTATCAAATTACTATAATGATTAGTAATACTAATATAACATATGTACAGAATCAAATAGTTGTAGTAGTCATAGTAAAAAAGTTGAATTAGAAGGAAGTATCTTAACATTCATACCAAAAAAAAGAAAAAAAAGAAGGAAGTAATGAGAAGTTAGCAAGCTTATAGAAATAAAAATTTCAAATGGGTTATTAGTATTGTCACATTTCATCCAAATTAATATATGCAGAGAGAGGACAACATCAGCAACAACAACGCCGACAGGTGGCAGCAGCAACATGACACGCAAGAAGTTGTGTCTTTCGAGAATTTTCCGGCGGAAAGTTCGCCGGAGATCTCCCATGACGTCGAGAGCACTGCTTCTACTCCGGCAATCACCGTTGGAGAGAAAAAACACGCCATGGCTGTGGCTATAGCCACGGCTGCTGCTGCCGAAGCGGCCGTTGCAGCTGCACAAGCGGCCGCTAAAGTCGTTCGGCTTGCCGGCTACAATCGCCAGACGGAGGAAGATAGCGCCGCCGTGCTCATCCAATCGCACTACAGGGGCTATTTGGTAATTTGTTTATTTTTTAACCAAGTACTAGTAAATAATTTTCATCTCTCACACCAATTTACTATTGACCTTTACCGGTATAATGAAATTCATTTCGGTACTGTGATTAAAACGGTGTTAACCGAATTATGTGTCTAGTATTCTCAATTTATTGATTAAGGTAGTTCCTTTATTCGTTGTAAACTAATTCCCAAACCAGAAGTCTTATGAAATAATACGATTTATTCAAAATTATGACCGGTTTTGTGATTTTTTCTTTCCTCAATTGAAGGCGAGACGAGCACTTCGAGCTTTAAAAGGACTAGTTAGGTTACAAGCATTGGTCCGAGGCAACCACGTACGAAGACAGGCGCAAATGACTATGAAATGTATGCAAGCTCTGGTTCGTGTCCAAGGCCGAGTCAGAGCAAGAAGGCTCCAAGTGGCTCATGACCGGTTTAAGAAACAATTTGAGGAAGAAGAGAAGCGGTCCGGGTTGGAAAAACAAAAAAACGGTACATATTCAAATGATTTTGGTACAAATTAAAGCACCCAATATATATACTTTATAATGGTGAACATGTATGCACAGTACTTGTTAATTCTGGTTTTTGTAGGGTTTGCTAATCTCCAAACAGAACGAGAGAAACCGAAGAAACTGCACGAAGTAAATCGAACCAGCTTGTACCAAACTCCAGGAAAGGTAATGTGGGAAAGTCTTACATACTATTTTTCATAGAAGTCGTTACAACAATATTTATAAACTATTAGTTAAATGTAATTTGAATATATACAGGAGAAAGAGAAGAGTGAAGGAATGATGAAAAGAGAGAGGGCTCTTGCTTATGCATACACTTACCAGGTTGGTCACCTCTCTATTTCCTTTCAATGTTTTTCCCTCAAAAAAGGATTTTATTCAGAATCAAAAATTCCTGAACATGTTTCCTTATGATTTTGATTTACATACTGAAGCGACAAATGCAACACACAAATGCTGATGAGGCACTTGGGCTTTCTGTTAATGGGCCAGATAGAAACCAATTGGCTTGGAATTGGCTTGACCATTGGATGTCTTCCCAACCATACACGGGCCGTCAAACCGGCCTGGGTACCGGTCCCGGACAGTACAATCCTCCTCCGTATCCGCCTTTCCCCACAGCCGCGGCAACCACAGCCGGGACCACTACACCCGACGATGTATCGGAAAAGACGGTCGAAATGGACGTGACCACTCCGACTAGCCTCAAGGACAAGATAATTGGTATGATTGATCGAGAGTATATAGACTTAGGATCATATAGACAAGCCCATAAGCAACGGAAAAGTCCAACCCATATACCAAGCTATATGGCTCCAACTGTATCTGCAAAGGCTAAAGTACGAGACCAAGGCACGACCGTCAAGCTTCAAGGAACTTCTTTTATGCCGTATTGGAACTCCTCGACCAAAAACGGATCGGTTAATGGATCGGGTTGTGATTCATCAAGTTCGGGTGGAGCAGTAACAACCGGTTATCCCGGTCCTAGGAGTCCTAACCCAAAAATTGATATCCGACGACGTAAACCGGTTAGTCCTAGTCAAAGTCCTACCGGGTTTGGGAAGAGAGACTGGAGGAATGATCATTAGAAGAGGTATCTTAACTTTTATTATCTTGAATAAAAACTTACATGTGTGGTTTGTTAATTATCTTGTATGAAGTACATTCTCTTTGTTACATAATTGTATATGACATTAATATATCAACATGTGTTGTGGCGTTTTTTCCTTATGTCACGGTCTAATTAACAAGAAATATCCCATGTCTACTTTGATGTCCTTGAATGTTGAGGTCATATCGCTTGGTCTTGTTAAACCGATCCACCAAAAAGGTAAACTCAATCTATGCAAAAATAGGAACGAGGCTAAAGAGCTAGTTTTGTTAAACTGATCAAGTTACTTGTGGATTCTTTTGATTTTTTTTCAGACAAAAATAGGAACGTATTGCTTAAGAATTTTTGTATAAAGTGTTGCGATCGAGTTTCTCAAATTTATGCTCTAGAAATTTATTTTTGCTTTGGTAAAAAATATATCTCTAGAAATTTCATCTAGACTTCATCT